GGGTTGGGGGTTTAGGGGGAGGAGGCATTACAGCCAAGGAGGCTCACATTCGGAATGTACAGTCATTGTCTCGCTGATTGGTCCTGTTATTTCAGAGCTCCGTGTTGGCGTTTGTATAATCAAGACATGTCAATCAGTCAAATAAAAAGGTGTATTTATTCGGATTTACCTTTGTCATCCTTTATTTTTGTGAAAAAGCATGGAAGAACTGAGTCTGACTGACTGTATTTTGAGTGTGTTACCTGTCCCAGTGTCCATTCATTTGCCATTTTACCATTGGGTATATACCCATTCTATCATCCATCTTTTTCTATCATTTATCCATCAATCCCTTTGTCCAACAGGCATTTTTCTGTCCAGCCATACGTCCAACCACCTTCTTGTCCAGGTTTTCTCAGTTCCGATGTGTCTCTACTTCCACGACTGAAACAAATGGCTGAATCGCCTCCTCAGTGTGCAATCTAGTTTACCAGAGTCCTGCCAATGACTTGATTATGGACACATCTAAGAGGTGAAAGAAACTGGATTTTGAGGGCCAGAAACTAGACATCCAGCTCTAGTCCAATTAACCATCCTGTCCATCTATCTACCTTTGCAGTCTGGTTTCTAGAAGAGAATAGAAGAATATGCTGCTTATTTTAGGAAAGCTTTATTTACAGTTTTAAAAAGGATAAAAAAAGAATGAAAACTGTCTGTAGAGGTTTAGAGGTAAAAAGAAAGTCCAAAAATCCTTCCCAATGTTTGCAACATATACACCTGACTGAATTATACGGATCATTTAGTCATAAACAACACTTAGAGGTGTCTCACTGTGAGTATTAAAGGTTTACCTGTGCTGCTAAATCAAATATATTATTTTTAACAGTGGGGTGACAGGAGGCTAGGTAGAGAGGAAAGTCAGACAAGACTCCAGATTGAAAAATTAGAACGATTTTAAGGTTTCCTTATTTCTACTGCCAGTGGTTTGTGTGGCATTAAAACAACTAAAAAGATCCCTAGATTTCCTGCCTCACAGCCTACAGGACTTCAGGAGTCATCTATCAGCTGTTGATTTCAGATATATTACAAACAATGAATGAACTAGAGAATGCAGACCTTTAAAAAAATCTGGAGAATGGATAACTAACGTAATGTCTGTTGGGTAGGATATGGCGGATTGGTGCTATTCGAACCCTTAATGCACTGCAAAAACAATCTAAAAACAAGTAAACGTTTCTTAAAATGTGTTTACCCTTAATTTAACTTACATTAACACGGTCTACTGTGTATAACTATATACTAAATATTGTATGTTTTACATTGCATATAGCTATAGATTCTGTATTCCGTATACATATCTAATTTGTCTGCACCATCAACACCATGTCAAATTCCTTGTAAGTGCAAACCTACTTGGCAAGAATTTGATCCTGCTTGTGATTAAGTAGGTAAATAAGATGATCTGTCAATGGAATGGTCGTTGTTGTCCTTAAAACAAGATATTATGCACTTGAAATAAGAGACTGCAGTTTTCCTATTTCAAATAGAAATTGTCTTATTCCACTGGCAAAGTGTCTCACTTACCTGCTCAGTTCAACAAAAAATACATTTATTTTATGAAGAATGTACTTGCAATATATTGCATTTCCTAATGTTTTTTTTTTTTTACATAGCGCTGCACAGTTTTTAGATGAGGCTGTTCTATTATAATTCCTTTTAAACAACTGTACATAGTATCAAGGTAAACTAGGCAGTGGCAGAGCTTCAATGTGTCCTATTCTAGGGCACATCTGTCAAACTCTAGGCCCACAGACTGAATGAGGCTTTTCACAACCAAAAAAGGCTGATCATGTCTTAAAGTAGAGGCACATATTCTTTTAAAGGGTACAAATTAAAAGTAGACAGAGTGATCTGTGTATATAAACCAATAAAATCAACAGTTTCATTTATACAACAGCAATCAAGCTTTTTTAAGATAATATGAAAATAATTTTGACAACCCTGTTTTAGGGGGTTGATATTATCCACTTGACAAAAATAAAACATACAGATTCATCCATCAAATTCCAATTTTGCATAAAATGTGGCATATCTCAATAACTTGACTCACTAAGTGTAATACAATAAATATCTCAGAAAACCACCAATTTCTATTTAATTTTTTGTTGATTGATTTCCTGCCTTCAGCTAATGAAGACATATATTAGAATATTAGACCAGGCAAACATTTAGATAAAGAAATGTTAGTTACCTAAAAAGTATACTCAAAACCTTTAAAAGAGAGATATTTTGAAAAGGTACTTTTAATCTGCCGAACAAACCTTACTGGAATGCTAATTCTGATTTACCGAATATGAATATACACCAAAGAAGCAACTAAAAGAAATGTCAACACAATAGGCACATTCACATATGCATAGTGTGAAAAATTTACTTTTATTTTTAAAGTTTCACACCCTTAGTAGACTCTGAACAATGTTGTGTAGTTTCCTGGTGTGTTTCCTGTTCATAGAACAATGTCTTTCTCAATAAGCTGTATTTGGACTTTTACCTTTTGAGGTCTGTGGCATGCCTCACACACACTGCTGCTGCTTTTTGTTTGTTTTACTTTCATTTATAACTGTCTGTTTCCCTCCTTTTCTAGTCATAAAAATGCATTACAAGTGGAGTTTGCAGTTTAGTTGTAAACCTTATTGTATTTAATGATAAAATTGCACAGAGAAAAAAGCATAACTGATTGATTTGTCTCTGCATGTTCTAGCTCTGTAAGTCCAGGTCATTGATACAAGGGACCTTGGTTGAAACCTTGAAGGACATATGGTTTAAAGCCTTTACCAGGTTTGTGTTAAAGTTGAAATCCAGCATTTACAGAACATTCACAAGGATACCATTTTGAGCAAAGTAAAACAATGACAAAAAATACTGTTTTCTTATGTGTGATTTGGACCCCTTTAAGCCGGTATTGTCAGCACAAAAGAGATGTTTGGGTGATTGCAACATGTAGAGGGGTAGAGTATAAACTGATTGCCTACCTATAAAAAGTTAACCTATTCAAAAGGAAGGTGTGTACTTCAAAACAAAAATTATTTATGCAAAATAAAATTAAATATCAAGGCTGACACATTTGTAGTTTTGAAAAAAAAAATAATAAAATGGTTGGATTCATTTGATTTGGATATTGATTTTGGGTGTTGGAAACCACTTGTTATTCTTGGATGCTTAGCAGCTGCTTATTGTGCCTCTGCTTAGTGTTAGTAAATCAATATGATGCTTTATTTTTCTAATTTTTAAGATTTTGTATTGGGATAATAAAAACTACCACATGTGGTGCATTTCGTTTACACTGAAAGTCAATAACATTATCATTAAAAATAGAAAAACAAGCCATGGTATATTTCCGTATACGAAACCAACTAAATTCAAAATAAATTTAATGTAAAAGCAGTTAATCTTAGCAGATTACTAAGTTTCTTGTTAAATTACTCACTTTATTTCATCATCATTGTTTTAACCCTGATCAATATATAATAGATACAATATCTAATGGTATGTGGTCCTTTTTAGATTAGCTACTATTATAAGGGGGGAAAAAAACTGATTTAAACATTTGGTATTATTGTATATGGAGGCATGAATTTCTAGAATAGAAGGCAATTATATGGCAATTTTTGTAATAAAAAATAAATAAAAAGATTCAGGAAAAAATATCTTATGCAGACAATAAAAAATAAAGTATGCAGCTACCTGCCTATAAATGTATTGGGCTCACATCCTCTAACAATGTCCCTGCCTGAAACTTATAAATATCCAAACGGAAACAGCAGCAAATATTTAATCAGCTTTTATTATTACAGGTACATTAGCCTTGAATGGAAACGTTCAGCTATAAAAGTAAGATTTTGAACACTTTTCTAGATGTTTAACTTATTTTGGAAAGACGCTCTACTTTTTGAAGCGCGGCAGGATACTGAGATTTTTGCCCTCTTCGCCATCTTGATGTTCAACTCAACTGGCGGAAGCAGCATCTTCGCAGCAAGCGGGTGCGGTTTGGACCAGGACGGGTGGTTCACCTAGCAGTCCTTTACTATTTTCAGCCAGGAAAAAAAAGAATAGAATTCGACCCAACAGAAGCTACGGAGGAGCCGCTCGACTCTGGTAAAGACCACACGTTTAGCTCAGACATCGCCTCAGTTTCATGCTTTAGCTAAGGCAGTCATCTGTGGGGAGGGGGGGCTCCGGTGGGGTTTTCTGATTCGGCTGGCAGCAGCACAGCAGTTTTTTTTTTTTTAACGGTGGCGCCTGGATCTACTTTTCGTATGTCTCGGTTAGCTAAGCTAAACAAACCTGAATCAGATGTTTAATGTTTCCCCTCAGTTGTCACCGTTCCAGCGATACAGAACAAATCCCACTGGTAAAATCAGCCACTGGTGACGCTAACTGCACCCCAGAGCGGAGAGTTTCTGCTGGGTGTTTCAATCTCTCACCATTGATTGTTTATGTTAGCTAGCTAGTTAGCTAACTAACGGTAAGGATAGCTACGCACGTTTCATGGCTAATTCTTGCAAGCGCTCCCGTTTTTTTCGGGTTTTAAACCACTCTTGTTGGTGTAACAGACAGGGTTTATCGCTCTGTCTCGATTAGTCTGCTTGTTATTCTCCCAATTGGAGCCTCCATGAGAGAGGAGGAGTCGTAGAAGTGATTGCGGGCAGAGGGGGGGTTGTGTCTCTCATTGGAAACCGAGCTTCGAGGTCGGAACTTGGACGTGGTGAGGGGGGGAGGGGGATAAATATGCCTTTGATGTTGTATGCCGCTGAATGGTGAATTGTGTTCGCCTGGAAATACCCACCGCTTCGCTGTCTCTCGGTTTGAGGTGGAGACTCGGCATTCCCCCCCTCCTCTTCTATCTACGTTAACTAGCAGAACAAGCGTTGGAAGACCTGGCAAAGGTAGCGCAGTAAAAGAGAAAAACAAACAAAAAACAAGCA